TGTGTCAAAAATTATTTAAAATTTCAATAAAATATTATATTTTATTATGTTATTTACAAATTAATCTTATATATAAAATTATACAACTAATTATAAAATATTTCTCTGACATATCAAGTTAAGTATTATAAATAAATATGTGTCAAAAATTAATTATAATAAAAACATTATACTACTTACAATTTAATGTTATGAGCGATTCCCCTTAGAAATGATAACTGTGATCGATTTCCCCTATCATTTATAATTGCACTAATACGTTTTTCTCTTTCAGCGTATTCTCTACGAGTTGGAGTATGTGCCCTTCCACGAATTATATCTTCGGCTCTTCGTTCCGTTTGAATTTGTTCTTTTTTAATTTCCTCTAAAATTGTGTAAACACCAACATGACATTTTCCAACGAGAGTTTCAAAACGTCTGTGCCAACCCTCTACGCGGTTTTGAGTTCTAGGAACTCCTAATTCCATTCGCTCAAATACGGACCAAAATTTTGGTGGAAATAAAGCAGCTGCACGACTTACATTACCTCCTCTCATTATCCTTCTAATTCTACCATGCACATAATTGTTCTCAAACCACTGCATTATCTCAGAAGCTTCTTCAGGAATAGTAGATTTCAATTCATCGAATGCACCTGGTATTTCGGTAGGTGGAAGAAAAGCAAGTGCAATAATCTGACGTAGTTTCAAACTAAATTCTTCGTCTTCTCCATATCTTTTACTTAGAGAATTTGTTTGAATTTGACGCCATACACTTTGCCCTAGATGAAAAAGACAACCTATGCAATTAGTGTCTGGATATTCACGTTTTGAAGCATTTATAGCCGCTTGCTCAAAATCAGTTAAAATAAATTGAGGATTTAAATCTAACTCATTTTCAGCTGCAAAATCATTTAAACTTTCAAAAAGGCGAGTATAACATTCTTCTGTTTTACTCGTCATTAAAGCATACACTAGAGGCAATATTTTTGCATTTTCTCCTGTTCCTACCATAGCATGAATTGTATATAATTGTCGAAAAAGTGTCGGAACAGTTTTAAAAGTACCGTCCATGATCCAATATGAACTTTTTTTTAAATGTTCAACGTTAGATTTAGTTGTAAACAAAAGTATTCTTTCATTGTCAAAGGATGCATCTTTTGCTAGGAAAATTTGTCCATTAATAGTTCTAAGGGGTAATGGTACATCTATATCGTCAATGGAAGTTGGTTGCATAGGTATATCTTTTCTGCGTACTCTTTTTATAATTTGACGTAGAGCATGATTATTTGGCAACGATGGTTGACTTAGGCTAGAAACAGCATTGGTTTCAACTTGTATTATTTGTGCAGGCGTGTCATTAGTCTCACGAGCCTTTCGTTTCAAATTATGAACAGCCGTGATGATATCTTTTCTAGTAGCATCGGGGCTATGGTTATGCTCTTTTGTATTTCGTAAGTTATGCTGTCCACTAATTAGAATGGTACAAGCATAACCACCACAATTGAGAGTTTTTCTCTTTTCGCAGCACCAATAATACAAATCATCTCTATTTTTGTCTTTTGTCATAATATAACCATCAATAACAAGTTTTATACCACCTCTATTTGATGAAACGGTTTCACAAATTTGTGCCATCTTCCAATGTATATTAAAAAAAATAATTAAAATAAAACCTAACGGAAAAAAATCAAAATTATAATATTTTTAAAAGAAAGAAGTAGAATTTGTACTAAATGTATACCTATAATACGGCTATAACTGTACTGTACTGAACTGTAAAACGTCGCGCGTCGCGTCAAAAACCTATTGTCGTTTTATCTGTCTATCGCCTATCGGTTTATTTATAAATGAAATTATTATCTTACTTTTATATTACATATATATTATATATAACGATATTATCCATGATAAAATATTCGTCTGATTTTGGTTTTTTTGAATTATTCTATATTAATAAATAATAAATAATAATAAAATATTGTATATTAGTATTACGTACAATAAAAATATGTAAAATATATTATCGGATTAATGTAGTGTCGGGCCAATGTAATATCGGGTAAAAGTATTGTCGGACAAATGTAGTGTCGGGCCAATGTAATGTCGGGTAAAAGTATTGTCGGGCAAATGGTATCGGGCAATTGAAGTGTCGGGCATTCGAGTGTCGGGCAATCATATCAGACCCGTTAATAACAGCTACTCGTCAAACTTCCAAATACTAGCTGGAGTCCCTCAAGGAAGTGACATTGCTCCCTTCTTATACTCTATATTCGCCCACGACACTCCGACCTCTCCTCATACATCACTGGGTACATATGCTGACGACACGATAATCCTGGCTTCAAACCATGACCCCCAGGTAGTATCTCTCCGGCTTCAAAATCACCTCAACTCGATTCAACGATGGTCAAACCGCTGGAAGATCAAAATTAACGACGCTAAATCATCCTTTATCACCTTCTCTCTTAGACCAGGCGACTGCCCCTCCGTATCGTTTAATAATAACCAAATCCCAGTCACCCCGACAATAAGATACCTAGGTTTGATCTTTGACAGGCGCCTCACATGGGCCCAACACCTTAAAATAAAAAGAAAAACAATCAACTCCAGACGTCATTTACTCCGCCCACTTCTTAGATCCAAAACATCTTTAAAAAATAAACTATTAATATACAAATCCATCATCAGACCTGTTTGGTCCTATGGCATCCAGATTTGGGGCTCTGCCAAACCCTCCAACACGAGAACAATCCAGGCATTCCAGTCTATCTGTCTAAGGCAAATTGTCTCTGCTCCATGGTTCATCTCAAATAATAATCTCCACAAAGACCTAAATATCCCTTCGCTCTCTCAATTAACAAAATCTCACTACGTCTCCTTTCATTCCAAGTTAAACCAACATTACAATCCATTAATAAAACGCATATCCTCTCTAACAATCCCTGATAACCCCCTGAGACGTTTAAAACGCTCCTGGCCTAGAGACCTTCTAATTTAATCTGTCGGGTGGCACTACTAAGTGCCCTCCCCCATCTGTTATTCACGCTATTATGTAAATACTTTATCAATATTACTTATTGTACAAAATTGCTGTATAGATTGTAATTATATTTATAAAAAAAAAAAAAAAAAATGTTTATTTCATTCATTATTCCATCATTTATTTTATTATTATTTTATATATTGGCTATTTTTTATTTTTATTATTATTAATTATTATAACTGCAACTGTCAGTCTATTTACTATAATTTTTATAATTATTTTTAAAATTTTTGCTCTGGAATTTTTCACATCGTCTAAATTGCTTTATTTATTGACTATATTTATTATTTGTATTACTATTAATTATTATATTATTACACCTGACAGGCTATTTACTAAAATATTTATTTTATATATTTTTTCCTCAGTTTATTTAATATGTATAAGGTTATACCTAAGTTGATTAATTATACCTATCGTAGACGATTCCAGTACAAGAGGGTCACTACTTTTTCGACTATTATAAAAAAAATTCACAGGAGGCAATTCGTGAGCGCCCATAAAAAGTGAGTTAATGAATCACTGGTAATCTGGAATAGGTAGTAGGTAAACTTATTGGTGGAGATTATAGGCTCTCCAAAATTATTAAACATTTTTCAAAGTTTTAAATATGTTGGTACCTATTTTGCAACAATGCAAGGAAAGATTTAAATCCCCCCTAAAATTCAACAAAATATCCACCAATGAGTAAACTACTACTTAGAAATTTGTACACCCAGGGGCGGAGTGGCTCTACAATTCTTACCAAGAAAACAGGTATTTTCAGGTCATATCAATTTATTACAGACCATTTTTTCAAATTTAATTTCTTACCATTTTTTATTTTATTGGTAGACGTTTACTAATTATTTTTTGATTGGGCGAAGTATAAAACAATTTATTTGGTCTACGTGAATGGGCACATTTAAACTCCATCAGAAATAAAAAAAAACAGGTAAATCAGGTTCATGTAAACTTCGCCATTGAAAAAAATCAGGTAAAATTGAATACATGTAAACTCCGCCAGTGAAGAAAATCAAGTAGTAGTATAAAATTAATATAGTATGTTCTTAAAAAAAAAATATAGTATAATATTATCATATCATATTGTTCACATTAAATATTTAAATCATAGTAAAAAAATCATAATAAATAATAATCGTTATACCTAACAAAAATATAAAGTTATGTAATGTATGTAAACTAAAATGATGTGATACAATTTGTAAATATTCTAAGCCTTGTATTACTTCATTAGTATATATCATCGAAATATATGTCAACGTATTTAATGTGAGAAGGCACGAGGCAATGTGAGCATTGAGCAACTAAACAAAAAAAAAAAAAAAAAAACAATAACTAAATGTTTTTAAAATAGAATTACACTTTTTAGATTTTTGTCCGACACGGCCCAAGAAATTTTTTGAATATAACTTTTAACTTTAAAAAGGTTGCCAATCATTGCTTTAAACAATACTCATTTTCTTTTTTAATTTAAATTCTGAATATTTACTAATAGGCATATTGATGTTTGTCATATTTACCTTTTTGTCTTTAGATTTTAGCTGTTAAATAAGGATGAGCATAACCATAAATCTATAGAAACATAAATTATAAAATGGCCTTCCAAAACTAGTTTGAATCCAAATAGGAAAAAGATTTTTTTCAAATAATTGTGTACTCTTGTTATTTGAGGTCTTCCACGTATCTATATTCATTATAATTGAATTTTGTTTATAGCTGTGTATTATTAAATAGACTATACAACTCTACTTTTTTATTTATATTCAATTTTATTGATATAAACGCGATAGACAACTTATGATATAGGTAATGCATAAGACATTATAAACATATGACGTAGAAATCAGAATAATATAAAAAAACCAGAATTCCAATAGATTTATTAATATTGCTTTACAATAACGTGTTTTTTATGGAAATTACATGGTACTATATAATATGACATATAAAAGTATAAATAAGATCGGACCAAGTATAAAATAGAATATTCTATGAGAAAATATTTAGTTTATTAAAATGCATTGCCCAGATAAATACATCAAAAATAATGGCATGCAACGGAAGAATGCCGAGGATATCTCAAGTACATATATACAACAAATGGTTTGGAAATCTAATGAAGTAGTTTTAGACATAGGATGTGGACCAGGCGATGTAACCTCAGTTATTCTTTATCCTTTATTAAAGGATAAAATTGATCAGTTGGTAAGTATAAGCGGTTTTAAACATTTTTTATAAATAATTTTTACTTAAAAATGTTGCTTTTTAGGTTGGTGTTGATAAATCAATCGAAATGATTGAATATGCAAAAAAAACATATGGATGCTCTAAGAAAGATTTTAAAGTTCTGGATATTGATAATGTCAATGATTGCTCTCTTTATTCGCACAAATTTAACAAAATATTTTCATTTTTCTGTTTTCACTGGATTCATAATAAAGCCGATTCATTGCGTAGTCTACATTCAATGTTAAAAAATGGTGGAGAAATTTTGTTAGACTTCTTGTTAATCAATCCATGGATTGCAACGTATAAATCTTTGGATGCAGAATGGCAAAAATATGTTAAAGTGAATACTTATGTTACTATTTTTTTTCTGGTTTATATTTCAAAAAAATAACACCTTTGTGTTATTTTGATCAAAAAAAACTTAGTCCCTTAATTGTTGTTCCGTTTAAATAAATGTATAGGTATAAAATGAACAGAAACAAATTTTTATTGATTTGCTTTTACTTTTTAAGTATCAGAATCGACTAGAACTTGTGAGTTACCGAGTATAACTTTGTAGACTGGCTTATATTTTGATAGATTAAGTAATAAACACAATTGATTTAATAAATCTTAATGGTTTTTGTACTAATAAAATTTTAATTACCTAGTAGATGATCGGTGCTTACAATATATAATGCTATATAATGATCAAATGATACACAATCAAATTAAATTTTAGCTTTTTATTACTTATATTTGTTATAATCAAATTAGAAAAAATTATTAACAGGATATAAATATGTCGAATGATTTGTATTCTCAAGATGAAGTGAGAGAAATGTTTATCAATGCTGGATTTCGAATAATTAATTTAGAATCAAAAGTCAAGAAATACACATTTTCAGATTTATCATCACTTTTAGGTAATTATAATTGTCGAAATTTTTTTATTAAAAGCTTTTTAAACAATAATTTTTAACTATTTACAATTTACTTATTCTTCATATCTAATTATTGAGGCTTAACATAAAATCTAAAATCTAATTGCATGCACTAAACATAATTTGAATATATATATGCAACTATTCTATAAATAAAATCGTATATGTATAAACTAAAAAATCATGTAAATTATTTTTTAGTTAATCAAGAGGACCTATTATTCTCACTTTATTGTATTTTATTTCAATTTTTTATGAATACATATATTTTTTTTGTTGGTGCATCTAATTATATTTAGCTGATGAATAATATGAAAATATGTTTACGATTTTATTTTAATGTTGCATCTTTATATGTTTAAACAATAGTTTATAAAAACCATTTAAAAAATCTGTTTAAACATTTTTAAAAAAATTACCCTTATTTTAATAAAATATAAAAAATGCCCTTAAAATTGAATAAATGACTTCAAATTAAAAAAAAGTACAAAGAAATACAAAATAAAAACTATATATTTTAATTTCTAGATGATTAAATCACATTTTGTACTCGAAAAGCTATATCCTGTAAATCCTAAAAATAAAATGCAAATTCCTATACTATCTTACACATAATGATTAATGATTTCTTATCAAATAATCTAAAATTTGCTTAAACAAAATGACCATTTCATTATATTTATACATTATTTATACATTATTATTATGATTATTATTTAACAGAATTTTCTCTAATTCTTATCACAGAATCTAAAATAATGATTCATTGAAATTTAATAAATCAGTTGTTTTTTTTAAATTTTATAATAATTAATAACTTATATTTTGTTTTCTACCTGTTCATAACTTAATGCATAAGAAAATGATACCCAATGTTTTATTTTAGGGGTCTCCAACCAAACTGTTTAAAATACACTATTTTTAATTTATCAATTTTTTTCAATAAAAAATTCATAGAGAATTAACTTAAGTGACAACATTTACAAGCAACAAAAATCTTCCTTAAATTACAATGTAATAATCGTTCTGCCTTTATCTAATCATTTTTGGCGTTTGGCCTATGATACCAAAGCATATTTCAGATTCGGAATTTCGGTCTTCCATAAAAAAAAAAAGATTGTGACTTCTGTTCTGTCCCATTCTCTATTCAAAACTTAAAATTGTATAAATATAAAAAGGGAGACTTTTCTATTATAGTATTAAGCTATTGAATAACCTAGGTATCTATCAATAATGTTTTCCATTATTTTCGTTTCAACGTAAAATTAATTTTTTTTTCTTGATTATTAATCTTATTTATTATTTGTGTTTTATAGATACCTTTAAAGTAGTAGATGGAATCTATGATTATTTGCCACAACACTTACATGACAGATACACCGTATATGTTCAAGAAAAAATATGTAAGACACAAAAGTTTGAAATTTGTCCAAATACAGGAAAAACAACTTTTTCATATACTACTATTACTGTGCATGCTATAAAAGATTAAAATTTAAAAATTTTAAGAATACATAGGCACAATTTTTTTTTATTAGCATTTGAAGTTCAAATATTGACTATTTTGTAGGTATAATTTATAAAAATTAATAATTAATTGATTAACCATGACTTTAGCAAATACGTCCTAATTGAAAAATAAAATATTTGTTTCAAAATAGAATGTATGACAATATTTAAATATAATATATCCTAAACTGACAAATCATCTCCGTTCAGAATCGTTTTTCGTATACAATGATACCTATCATTGCATTCAAATTTAACCTACCCCAGTCCGAGGTTCACCCCACCTCTTAATGTACAGCAGAGCGGTACCCACTTGTCCGCTTTTTTTTGGATTTATTCCGTATTATCATAGATTATACAAACATAATAATATGTGATATTTGTTATTACTGATTAAAAATGCAAGCTTATGACGTCATTCACAATTATGGCTATATATTTTATTATTTTGTTTAGGTATTATGTTAATAACTGGCTCATCGTTATAATATTATCAGACGACGTAACTACGTAAGAAATCAAGTTATTACCTACCTATAAATTATTTGTTGTTTATAACTTAAATATTTTAATTCGTAGTTCACACCATAAATTTGTTTTCGTTATTTTTACGATCAACTAAAAATCACAAAATATTATTTATTTATTAATTAATCAGGACCAGGCCATTTCTTATAAAAGTAAGCCATACCACTGGGCATTAGCCCACGCCATTCCTTAAAACTCAATAAGGTCTAAAAGAAATGAACATGAAATTATTACCGTATGGCGTATGTCATCATATCTTTACATAAGTTAACATAATATGAAATAAAATAATACTTTATGGTTTATTTTTTTTATCCTTCTGGCTTTTACCTCAGTGAAGTCGTTTATAACCGAATCGAAATCAATGGAGTTTGATATTTCTTTTTCAATATACAATAATGCAAGATTAGTTGTTTTGATTTATTGTGAAGCGTAAATAAGTTTTTATTAGTTAAATTAATATTATATTGACTGCTGTAATATATATAAAAATTATGAAATATTGAATAATTAACAACATTTATGAATTGAGGTAATATTTAGTTATATTTTGTATTACAATAAGAGGCATATAGGACCAAAATACAGCTTAAACCACAAATGATTTTCCGTTTTATTTAACAAAAGTTATTCAAAATTGGATGGAAAAACACTGTTCTCCATTAGTCATTACAATTGTGTTTCAGTTGAGTATAGATGGAGTGAATATAACAAACAAAAAACTAATATGATCAACAGGGCCGGACTAGGTCAAAAATTTCTACCGGGAAAATAAAAAAAAATCGGCCCACTTAGATATACATATAAAACAACCCTAAAAAACATATATTTTCATATAAAATGATTGTATATTATTTTAATAATTTGAAAACTTAATAATTATTATTGTTATTAGATATTAAAAAAATTAAAAATTGGTTACAAAAAAGAAATATTATAATTTTTATTTAAAATACATATGTTAGACAGTTAGACTTCAGAATACACATTAATACATATTAAGTAATTTATTAAGGTTTGAACTCTTTTGCGAATTTGTGTCAATTATGGTTTCATTATCTAACGTCATCAAAATATCAGATTCAGCTGACATAAGCATAAATGACTCCAAATGATCTTGATTCAATGAATTTCTTATTCTATTGAGAATATATTTCAGTTTCGAAAACATTCTTTCGCAAGCTACTTGTGTTGACGACAGTGATAGAATGAATTTGTATGCAAAAAATAGTGTCTTGTAAGCTTCGCTGTACAGATTATATTTCAGTAGTACTGTATAGCAACACAAAATACAATTTCGACATGCTTTAATTTTATTGCATAATATTGTTGATTTTTTTTCAATTTCTAAATTAGAATTGTTAATGCTTTCTTTTAGTTCTAACTGCTGTTCTTCGTTAATAAAATTATCAAATTCGTACTCTTCGTCAACTGTTAATTTTAAACGGTCCCATTTTGAAGAAAAGTCTTGTAGTTCGGATATCAAGTTAGCTCTTGTTATACTCTCGTCACGATTTACTAAATGTTCAACTAATTTTGTAAATGCTTCTTCAGGAATTTTTTCATTGAATCTGCTGGGTTGTAAAAAAGCACAATCGGCAGGAAATTTACTATTACTAAAATATTTTATTTCCATACTATTTATTAGTGTATCAAATGTAACATTATATACATCGACAGCAAACTTTTGATGAGCACTAGGTGGTATGTATTCTTCACCAGAATCTCCATCCATTATTTTATTTTTACGTATTTTAATTTCCGGAAAATTATCTTGAACAGTTATTTCAATATTTTTATGCTCGAAATAATTATTAGCTCAATTTGAAAATTGTTTTGCTGCTTCAACAACTAAAAGAGAACTTCTTGAAAATTGCTTTAAACTTTCTAATGTAGTTTCTACCAAACGATGCGCTTGAAGAACATCCATGTTCTGAGTTTGTAAGTATTTAGAAAGTGCAGAGGTATGAACAAAAATTTTAAGATACATATTTGCTGTGACGATTGTTTCAAATTTTATAAAATTATCAAAAAGCATCCTTGCGTTGTATTTTATTTTAGAATTGATTGTATCTGATTGAGACATTTTATACAATGCAATTAAAATAGTCAAAAATACTGAATTTTTTTCATTGGGGTCGTTAAAAGTACCAAAGATTTTTTTTAAAGCATTATCTTTAGACCACTATCTAGTTTGAGCTATTACTGATATGGTTTTTATACGAGATTCTGAGAGTAAATCTTTTAAAATATTCATACGTATGTATGATTCTCGAAAAAAAAACTGCACACGAATTTAAAAGCCCAAATAAAGAAATTGAATAATGATTTTTTTCTGTTATGTCTATCATGACCAAATTTAATACATGAGGGTAGCACCAAGTATGTAGCTGAGTTCCAGCTTCCTCTTGTAACCAAGTATTAAAACTATTGTACTGACCTTGCATATTCGCCGCACCGTCGGTAGCATTTCCAATACAATTTTTCATATTAATATTTGCCAATTTTAAATTTACACATACTTGATCACAAATTGATTTCCCAGTTGACGAAGAAACGCTAAATAATTTAATTAATCGTTCATGAACTTTGTCAGTCACGTATCTGTAAAACGTAACGTTTTTAATTTCTAATTTAGTTATTAAAACCTAAAATATGTAAATAATATTTTACTAAAATACGCACCTTATAATTACAGAACATTGGTCAGTAACGTTGTTGTCTTGTGTTGTATCGATCTGAATAGTAAATATTTTAGCTTCATTGACCTCATCAGCAATTTGTGAAATAATTAATTCACGTATTGAATCAATTATGTAATTTAATGTGGTATTTGAAAAAAAAGATATTAAGTCTCCTCGTCCACGGCTACTTCCAACTTTATCGTGTCTTTTTTTACTTAATTTAATAGTTTGATTTAAGTGAGTTTTTAAGGTCAAATCGTATTTAGACAATAACATTAATATTTCCAAAAAGTTGCCATGGTCTAAATTTTCATTTTCAAGAGTATAAGCAGATTCAATTGATCCTCTAAAACTAAGACCTCTTTTCCCGATTAATTTTAAAATATCTATAATTCTATGTAGTACTGCACGTCTCTCTATAATTTGTTTTTTATGGAGATTAACACTTTTAGTACACAAAAGTGTTTTAATATCAGCATTTTTACTTTGAATAACAAATGATTCAACGGCAGCAGAATGAGTTTTACTTTTTTTCATGTTCTTCCAGTTTTTGATACATATGTTTAAAATCAATTACTCCTTTACAAAAATTATTTTCAAGTTGACGATTAAATGCAAGGCATATTGAACAAAAAAATAAATGTTGTGATTTCGAATGAGTAACCCATTTTCTGCATGTTTTATTTTTTCTTTTGTACAGTTTTTCCGAATTAAAATTTGTGATATTTATTTGATTAGGAATATTAGGATGATACTTAAAAAAAATTGTGATTTCTTCTATTTTTGGTGGCTTAAACCAATAGTCTTCACTTAAATCATTTTGTAATTTCATTATATCATCATTTATATTACTTGTAATAGTAGCATAATTTTTCAAGTTAGTATCGACTTCAAATAAATTGCAACTTATTAGTGGTTCTTTTGTTAAATTTTTTTCTACACAAACAATTTGTTCAAAATCTAGTCGGTTTTTCGTTATTTCTTCTTGACATTGAGAAGACGATGTATTACATGTGGCTGGACTACTTTCATCAATTTTTTTCTTAAAAATGTCTTTTAATGATTTGCAACTTGATGCTTGAGCTTCTAGAAGTTTTAATTTTTTTGCTCTGTTTTTTTCTGCGCCTCCTCGGTATCCATTTTAATGAAAAAACTTGAAAAAAAATTTTGTTCAACAGAAACGATTCGTTATTTAATAAACACAACATTTCGATAAACTGAAATAATAATTGAAATCGTTTGATATAGTTTTATTAAGCCTTAGTTCAACCACTACGATGTAATTGAAATAGGTGGGAATTTGTATGATAATAATTGTCACACATTTTAGGTGGTGTAGACGTGTATTACAATAAGATAGGAATTACCGATTAACGAAGACAATAATATGGAAGAAGCATCTATTCTTGACAATTTGTACATTTTTCTATATCTATTTTCTTAATATTTATTATTTTGTCGTACACTCATGCCCGACAGTCACGAACCGCCAATGGACAGTTTTCTAATACAATCACATTAAAAAATGTGTCTGTCTTTTCGATAGTATGAGCATTAAACGATAAACTTATATATAAAAAAAAAACGACCCTACGAGTACAAGTGGCCCATTTCAAGCAAGCAGCTCACCGGGAAACTCTCGGTATCCCGCCTGCCCAGTCCGGCCCTGATGATCAACAATAACCTTGAATCTATTCATAATCTTACCGTTAAATAGATGTCTAGATCTCTAGATCGATGACCAAAATGACGAATCCGGATTATTAATATAATATTACAATATTAAAAAATATACGCAAAAACAACAACACACTAAAATTACATACAAAATATAAATGAAAAATCTGCAGAATAAT